CCCCCCCCCCCCCTCATATGTGATCCTAGCTCTCTTCTCGTGGCTTGATGTTGGTTTCAGGAGCGACAACGGCAGGAATCGACCGTCGGTGGCGTCGGTGCTTGCGATGCCTACGGCAGTCATCGGGTCGGACTGCTGGACGCTACGGCCGGGCGCCCGAACGGCTATGCACGACCTCCTCGTGACCCTCGTAGGCAACAGCGTCCAATGCGCGACGATGGTAGCAGAGGTAAACACATGTTGGCAAAAAAAAATCAAATGTAAGGAAGCCATGGTTTGCGTGCTCTTGTAGAACATGTATGCAATGATGTGCGTGCTCTTTGTTGTATAATATGTACTGTTATTTGCGGGGTTTTCGATTTTCCTCGACAAGTTTTTTTTCACACGAAAATTTGTTGTTTGTCCTCTGTTTTTGTTTTGTGTGCGTGTTGTGTCCCAGTCCATCTTGCAGGAGACGGCGAAACGAGTCACCCGCATGACCCAGATACACATCCACCGGCGGAACGACTACGAGCTGCACGGGCACGAGAACGATGGGAACGGATCGCCGACAATAGCAACAGCAGGGGGAGGGGGGGGGACCGGTACCGGGGGCACTGTGAGGGCGAAGGCCACCCGGGGGGGGCTCTTGGAGCAAAACCTGGCCGTGAGTTGCTGTTTGGGGGGATGTGGAGAGAGTGCAGGTCTATGTTTTACGTCGTCGTTGTTGGTCTTGGCTTGTGACCGCTGCGTCCTATCTTGGAACTTTCTCGTCTCGTCCTACACGATGGCAGTCAAAGAACGTGTTTCGTGGCATCTTGGAGACAAATTAGGGCTGTTGCGGCATGTGCTTGCCTGAATCATATTCACGTGTCTGGGAATGTCTGATCTTATGTAAAATATGTGTCACATGGACCCGTATATCTCACGAGCAGCTAACCTTGCCTAACAACCATGTCGCCTGGTGAGCGCCATTGCTTTTTCCACAATCGAGTGTTGACCCCTCGCCTGTGCTTTGCCTTCTTCTCTAATACGCGCCGTCTCCCAAGAAGTTCGTCGTCGCCGTTGAGTGCTAAACCCTCATCCCGCTCTGGCTTGCCTTGTTTCTCAACGACATATCGTCTCCCAAAGTCACAGTTTGGTGCATCCCGCTCCTGTGACTCTTCTTCCTTTCTCTCCTACCGTCTCCCCCAAACTACAGTTACTGCGGGGGTTGTCCGCCAAGGTGATGTCGACCCTAACCCTTCACCACGAGGAGTGCGAGCGCCAGGCCTACCAGTTCTACTCGACCGCACAGGACCTGGCCGCCAGCCCCCCTGAGCCTTTCCCCCCGGCAGGGTCGACGCCAACAGAAGGCGCAGCGGCGGCTGCGGAAGGTTCGCAAGAGGCCGCTGGTAATGGTGGAGGTGATTCGGCGGGTGAGGGCGGTGGTGACGTTGAGGACGGCGGCGATGAGGTCAGTTCGCTAGTTTTTTGTGTGTCTTGTATTGCTTTCGTGTCGCTGTATATTGTTTTGTCGCTGTAGTAAAGAGCAGCGGACAAACAATTGAGAATACAATGTTTGTCGCTGACGGTTGTAGTAAGAGCAGCGGACAAATAAATTGAGAATGCAATATTTGTCGTTGTTTATTGTTTTGTCGCTGACGGTTGTAGTAAGAGCGGCGGAGAAGCAATTGAGAATAAAATGTTTGTAGAAGAAGAATGTTAACGTGCAACAGCAGAGTTGCTGATAGAGAGGTTTGTTTCGCGCGATACTCGCGAGCATCCCTTCGCAGTCCATCCTGTGTCATTTTGATTGTGCTATTTCGTTTCCATGGATTCCGATTTTTTGAAGGACCTACGTGGCCACATAGTTGCCTTGAATGGGAGCCAGCGGCAGCTGCCGATGTGCCACAGCCACTTTTGAGCGAAGCGTCAGCGCCTAACAACATTGATGTTCCTTCGTGGTATGTGTGACTTTTGAAGCAAAAAAATGTCGTCGCTGTGTTTCGAGCGTGCGTTGTGCGTTTTTTTTTCGTCCCACTATCCCGGCGCCAATCTACATTTAGCTTTCGGTATATCTCTTCCACAGATAAGGTCCTGTTTTTTTTTGTTTTTTGTTTTTTTGTTTTTTTTGCAGGCGAGGAGGGAGGCTGCGGAGTGTGCGAGAGAAGACTGGGAGGAGGAGGTGCGGCAGTACAGGGAGGCCGGTAATCAGGCGCAGGAAACGGCCGATTCTGTGTCGGCGATGATCACTAACATCCTGTACTACATGGCCACCGGGTCCGCAAGGTAGATACGGTTAAGGTTAAGCCAGCACGAAATGCAATAATGAATGGAATAGAACTCCCAACAATGCCGGATGCTCAAGCTTGTCTTCTGCTCCTTGCACGGGGTGACGCTCTCTCTTCTGAACTAGTGCGTGGCAGCGCGGCTACAAGTCATCCAAGTCCAGTACACGTTGTGACGGACAGTGCCAATTGCGCCACAAATCATGCATGTGTAAATGTTATACGTAGTCTACACTTTGAGACCCTTACTCTTAGTAATAGAGGACAAAATGTAGGGAAAGCGAAACGAAAAGAAAGCGAAGTCAACTGCTGGGCACTACATTATTGGAAATCATGTTAGACGAACGTGTCCCATTGGACATGCAACGTTTCCCACGTCCAACGTGTCCCATGGGACAACTTTTGTATGCCGTGCCACGTACGCGGTTGATGACGGGTTGGACGTGCCAGCCGGACGTCCGATTGCATGTCCCAAGTGTCCCATCACCCAAACTTGATGTAGATAGGACACATAGATCGGACGTCGCTACCAGTTGTGGTTCTGGTAATTAAATATAGTGGGCGTGTGATCGGGGCTTCATTAGTCGTCGTGGGGGTCCCATGGGACGTCCAACGTGGCCTATTTGGACGTCCAACGTGGCCCATTTGGACGTCCAACGTGGCCCATGGGACAGCAGTTGGACGTGCAATGGGCCACGTTGGGCGTCCAAGGGGACATTTGACACGTCCAACGAGTCCCATGGGAAGTCCAATGGGACACGTTGAATGTCCCACTGGACACGTTGGACGTCCCATCGGACACATTGGACGTCCATGGACCCGTAGGACGTCTAACGCGCCCCATTGGACGTCTAATGGGACACGCTGACCGTCCCATTGGACACGTTGGACATCCCATCGGACACGTAGCACGTCCGATGGGACACGTTGGACGTCCCACTGGACACATTGGACACGTTAAACGTCCGATGGGACACGTTGAACGTCCCATGGGACATGTTGGACGTCCTATGCGGCACGTTGGGCGTCCCATGGGACATGTTGGACACACGTTGGAACAAGTTGGGCGTCCAATGAGGCACGGTGGACGTCCCATTGGACTCGTTGGATGTCCCATGGGACACGTTGGATGTCCCATGGGACACGTTGACACATCGGACGCCCCCTTGGACACGTTGAATGTCCCACTGGACACGTTGGACGTCCCATCGGACACATTGACGTCCCATTGGACACGTTGGACGTCCCATGAGACACGTTGGACGTCCCACAGGACAAGTTAGACGTGCCATTGGACACGTTGGACGTCTCATGGGGCACGTTAGAAACACGTTAGAACACGTTGGACGCCCCATGGGGCACGTTGGATGTCTCCATGGGACACGTTGGATGCCCCACGGGACACGTTGGACGTCCGATGGGACACGTTGGACGTTCAATGGGATACGTTGGACGTCCCATGGGACACGTTGGACACACGTTGGAACATGTTGGGCGTCCCATGGGGCACGTGAGACACACGTTGGAACACGTTGGACGCCCCTGGGGCACATTGGATGTCCCCATGGAACACGTTGGATGCCCCATGGGACACGTTGGACGTCCGATGGGACAAGTTGGACGTTCAATGGGATACGTTGGACGTCCCATGGGACACGTTGGACACACGTTGGAACATGTTGGACGTCCCATGGGGCACGTTGGACACACGTAGGAACACGTTGGACGCCCCATTGGGCACGTTGGATGTCCCCATGGGACATGTTGGATGCCCCACGGGACACGTTGGACGTCCGATGGGACAGGTTGGACGTTCAACGGGATACGTTGGACGTCCCATGGGACAGGTTGGACGTTCAACGGGATACGTTGGACGTCCCATGGGACACGTTGGACACACGTCGGAACACGTTGGACGTCCCATGGGGCACGTTGGACGTCTCATGGGACACGTTGGGCGTCCCATTGGACACGTTGGACGTCCCATGGGACACGCAGCACACGTCCCATGGAACACGTTGGACGTACCATGGGACGCCTGAGACCATGGATGGGGCGCCCATCACACGTCCATTTTTTGTACTTGCGTCTCTGCCATCTCTGCCTGTGCGTTTCCGTCGTCAGCGGGCTGCACTACAACCCCAAGGCGGCGAGGTTGATAGCAGCGCTCGCTCCACCGCCCGCCGCACCCCTGCAAGAACCTGCTTCCCTTCTTGGCAAGCGACAGCCAACCAAACGCAACAGCAAAATAATACGGTTTTTGTTGAATTTCTTCTAGAACAAGTAGCCACACCAGTATTTACACCCGGCCCACATGTTTGCACGTGCTGTATGCATGATGACACTCACAGCTGACTTCGAACACAGTACCAAATGTTTCAAACACCCCACCACATGCTTGCACGTGCTGCAAGCATGACGCCCACAGCTGCGACTTCGAACGCCACAACAATGTTTGCGAACACCCCCACCACGTACTGTATGCATGGCACTCGTAGCTGCGAATTCAAGACCGCGAACGCCGTTCCAATATAATCCGATCCCTTGCCCGTATGTATGCACATGCTGTACATGTGTAAGCATGCATGGTACTCACAGCTGCGACTTCAAGACTGCGAACGCCGTACCAGCATTTACAAACACTCCAACCCACGTGCTGAATGCTTGGTACTCGCAGCTGCGACTTGAAGACCGCCAACGCCGTGGCCAGGGGGATCCGCAAGCAAGCCGTCGAGATGCGAGACGGCCACGCCCTTGAGCTCTTGAAGGCGCCCTTCGCCGTGAGCCTGTTCAGGGCCTACGCCGAGAACTGCGCCCCCGTGAGCGGCTTCCTTCGGTGCTACCCCTCCTCGCCCTTCTCTGCGGATGTCGGTGGTGTTGGCGGGACTGATGACCTGCTGGCGCTGCTCGCGTTACTGGCGCCAGCGGTAAGTTTTGGTGTATGACTGTATGACGAGGCTCTGTCGGTGGCGAGGTGAACATATGTTGCTGCTGTTGCAATTGTTGTTGTTTGTGTTGTTGCGGTTGTTCGTGATGCTGACGGTGATGATTCCTTTTTTTTGTTTTTCCGATCGCCATCAACCGCCGTGTTCACCACGCAACCCCTTTCTTCTCAATATCGGCGCAACCGGTGTCGGTTGGGTGATGCAGTCACATCGACTTCGGCTCGACCCTGCCGGGTTGTTTTGTGCCTACAGGAGCAAGAGCAAAATTTTATCGTCTATCCTTACATGTACATCAAAAGTCCGGGATAGGTCGTTCGATGTTGGTTTCTGGCGAACAGCTGACTTCAATCAGACAAACAGGGAGTTAGGTTGGTAGAAGATGGGGTCATACTTCCAAAGATGGCAGCCTGTGGTCTCACCTTTCGCTCGTTTTACTTGTGACATACGATAATTATTGCAGCGCCAGGGATGTGTATTTGGCGGTGTTTTACCTGGTTGGTTGACATGGCACACCGGCGCCCCCCCCGCCCCCCCTGATGTGTATTTTTTTTTGCTGGCGTGTACGCTGACACAGGCGATCAAGGCCATGGACGACAACATCCTCAACGTGCACCTCTCCAGCCTCTGCAACTCACTCACCGATGCGGTCGGCGACGTTGTTCAGGTGCGCTCGTCACCCTGCGTGTTGTGCCCTTCCGCCTCTGCCCTCTTCGCAGGGGCACTTGTCGTTATTGTTGTTGTCGGTAGTGGTGTTGGTGGAGGTGTTGCAATGAAAAAAGGGGATCTACAACCGAAACCGAGATGTGGCGTATTGTTCAAGCGCTCTCTCTATCTTCTGCTGTTTGTATTTCTTGTCCGTTTCTTGGGGGGGGGGG